AATTCTGGGAGTTGAAGTCCATTCACCTTAAAGTTGCCAAGGTTGAGAAACACTGGATAAGCCTAACCTTGTTGAGGATGACTATCTAGAACAGTAAGTTAATGTCACTCAGCAATGAATAAAACAAAGCCAATGGATTTTGAAAGCTCTCCTTCTCCTGTAGGTTTTACAATTATGCTTATGAATTTTATTGTTTGTCCATTTTTGGCTGGAGTAGTGTTGAAATGTTTTATTGTTTGTTATGTTTTCTGCTTGTAATGGCGTTAACCACATCAGACTGGTTTGACCAAGAGCACGCGGGCTATACAGGTGATAAGTAAATACATACATTCAATGTTCAACTATGTTTGGAATGCATGCAATTAATTCTCTCCTGAGTGTGGTCACCCAAATACAGATGGAACCATTTGGGTGCGCTGCAGATTCTTGTGCCAAAAAATGTGTGTGCACATCAGAATGCAAGAGTCAGGAGTGTCAAAAGAGGAAAGAGCTCCTGTGTTTTAGCCCAGTTTTCCCCATCTTTGTGTTCTCCTTCTCCAAATGTTGCTCCAGGTGGTTGGAATTCTGGGAATTGTAGTCCCTACCGATCTTGAAGGCCCCAAGATGGGCACAATCGTTTTGAACAAAAGGAAGAGTTTTATGTATTTGAATGAAATGAGCTCTAAGGATGAACTGGGAAAGGATTTAGGTTAGAGCTGAAAAGAGTTCAGAAACATCTGCTCCTCAGCTCAGGCATTTCTACTGAGAATGAGGAGAAATATAGCATTTATTGGCACACGGGTAGAAGCGCTGGGGACAGATAGGTGACCTGATAACTGACCCACGAACAAATTTCGTCTAGCCACTATTTAGCAAGCCTATTGTTGTGGAAGGACTTTTATGATACCGAAATTTCATAGCAACGTATTCTGCCCTAAGCTTAGCTTCACTTAGTTTCTTTGCAGGGAGCAGGGTCTGCTAGTTTGACTAGATGGTTCCATCTGGAATCAGCCATATATGGAGCACTGTACACTATGCAGTATAAAATCAATGCAGCCCCATTTCTCATACAAGTTTTGATAGGATGGTCCATGGAACAGGCTTGTTTATTGACCTCATAGACATTTTTATTGATTTCATAGACATCCATTACAGATGGCAATGGAGAAAATCTGTGTTGTGATGTCACCACCCACAAACCCTGCCCTTCTGTACTTGCATCTCAATGTTGCACAAGGTATATAAGTCACAGGGTTTGCATCATGACACACATTGTCATTTGCTCTCTCCTACTTCCTGTGGATGCCTATAATTTCTAAATTTATATTCCACCATAGTACCAAAGTCTAACTTTTGTAATATTTGTGGATATGTCTGTGGATAAAGACACACAATACACTTTTAAAAAACACCACCAAATGCAGAAGCTAAAAGTGGGATAAAGAAAGCCATGGAGCAAATTTACTTCTTGGTAGATCTGAAATCATAAAAACAACTAAAAAGTGTTCAGTTCTTCTGGAAAAATAGGACTTTTGCTGGGGGAGCAGGTCAGGTTTCTAAAGCTAATACCAGAGAAGCCATCGATGTAGGTATCACTGGGAAAAAGAGATCCTTCCTCCACCAAATTTTAGGGAGTAATGGAATTCAGAGAAGTTGACAAGATGGGAGCCTTAACTCGGGGTCAGGGGAGGGTTGAAAAAGGCAAGATGGGAGCTATAACTGTACAATTGAAGCTCCTTTCTACATGCATCATCTATACGACGTATCACATATACGACGCGTCCCAAACACCCTGTTTAGGGTGATACTCAGCAGTTGGTAGAGTTTCCAGCAATCTATGTTGTGGTTTAGTGTGCCTAAAGACAGATTAGCACAAAATAAGAGCAATATATTGGTCCCAGGTCTACAGACTCGTAAGACATTTTTTAAAAAGCTAAAAAGAAAAATGGAGTATCTTCTTACAGGTTTCAGATAATGAGTTAAAAACAAAGCAAAACAGATCCTTTTTTTTCCTGATCAGCTAGCCTTTTTTTCTCATAGTTGGCCTTATCATAAGGCATTTATTATGTCATTATTTTTGTTGTTATTATTACTTTTTCAGGACTCCCCAAAAATAGGATTATAAGAGATCCTTCCAAGGTCTTGCAGCCAGTAAGTGGAATTGTTTTCTCTAATATCCTTTCTATCCTTCTGTAGGAGTTCTCATCAAGACTGCCACTTGCCACAGTGGCAATAATCCTTCTAGGTGTGTGTGGGTGGGTGTAAAGTAAACAGATTATAATTATGCAATCTCTTTACCTTCCCCTGACTTAGCATGCAAACTTGCATAGAGTAGTTTTAAGATCTGGTGAGTCAGTGCCTTGAGTTTCTCTTGTCAACACATTTATGTAGCAACAGAGGTCAGCCGAGTTCAGGAGTAGATAAAAACTCACCTGGACAAAGAGTGAGGTAATTGCCAACTGTGAGTTCATGACCAATACAAAGTCTAGTCTGAACTAACATCACCATGGACGGCCATGATTTTGGCCCCTATCTTGAACTTCCAGAACCGCTTGAAAGAAAAGTGAAGAACCAGATAATGTATACTTTTGCCTAATCTCTCTAACCATATTCTGCATGAAAAGTCATGTTCTCCCTCAGACAGAGATCATGGGAGTTACAATCCAGCACACCTGGGGATGTCAGCTTGGAGAAGTTTGATTGAAGGGGAAGCATTTTAAACCATACTCTAGTGATCTTCCATATAAGTTGGAGGCAGTGGGGCAAATGTCAACTAGATCTGGGGAACATGCAGATCTTAACTTTTAGACCTTGTCCAAGGAAGACAGGAAGAAACAAATCTGGGATGGTACCAAAGCAGAACCTCCTTCTGAAGGATGGTTGTCACATTTTTAACATTATTTTCTGACCTCATTCGTTCATTTATTTTGATTTAGAAGGACACTCACCTCCAGCATGGCTCTGGGTGGCTTGCATAGCTAAGAAGAGAAAAACAATCAAAAGAGAAAAGCACATGTTCTTCCCTCCCTCTAGTGAGACACTCTGAGTAAACAATATGTAAATAGGTAGAGCCATTTATAGAGTTGTAATTCTTCCTAAACTCACTTTAATTTGATCCTCAGCCAAAAACGGGAGTCTTTGAAATCTTGGGCAATAGATGCTTACCCAATCTCCCAGATTATGAAATTGTTTAGATAGGTGTGCCATCAATGAATACTCAGAAATGATTTCATAATATACCTGTTCAAGTTGCATCAAGACAATTTTCAATTAAAAAGATAGTCCTCATGGATTGTACAGATTAACAGCTGAGTTAAACAGTATGAATGTCTACTAGCCAATAATGATATGCTTTTTAGGCATGTCTTAGATATAGATTTGATATGCAGGATCTGATATACATATATAGAAGAAGCTCAGATGAATATAAGAATCACATATAACAACAATGATTAGAGTGGAATTGATTTGTCAGTTAATGATCACACCTTGAAAACCTACATTTTAGAACTTGTACTCTACATTTTAAGAAAGGTAGCTCGTTTTGAGAAAATGGGCTACATCTGAGGAGATGCTGAACTTTGCAGTCAACATCCTCCACCCATTTTGTTTAGTGTGATTTGTGAATGCAGCTGTGAACATTGCCAGTCGTGATTTATGGCTTAATGTACGTGAAACTAGCCAACTGTGGTATGTTCAACAATGCTCAAACAAATCACGGCTTACCACAATGTTTTGAAACAGATCGCAAATCTAGCTTCGCCGATCAAGGAGTACTTCTTGATATTTCCTGGGTTGGATTACTGCAATATGTTCTACATGGAGCTGCCAGTGAAGACGGTTAGAAAGTAACAGTTCAAGATTGCTAATCAGGTCTAGCTGCTATGACTGTATGGCATCTTTTCAACAAATGCAACCTTTTCCTATTTGTTTCCAGGCCCAGTTCAAACTCTTGACTCACTGTAATAACTCCACAAACTGGTAGCATTTAGAAAATTGAACTTTGCCTGTGTTTTATACACATGTTGTTTAATCTGCTAAATCATGGCAATTCCTAAGAGAACTGAGGTATTGTTTCAATTGGACATGCACAGTAAGGCTGCCTCTGTCTGTATAATACATTCTTTAATGCTTTGCAAGAATAAGTCAATGTTGCATGTTGGTTGACACCTTTCTTTTTGATACTTCGACTTGCTGCACAAGGACAATGTTGAATGCATTATCCTTGCTTGAGTAGCATCACTTATTCCAGACAGAACTGTCCTTCCCTTTTGAAAGTAGTAATTAATCTGCTAGTGATTTCTCGGGGATCTAGATTGCTTAATGAAGGGGGGGGGATCCTCCAATCTGGTTCCATTGCAAAGGGAAGAGGGAGAGCTGGAAATGTTATCTCCATCAGGACACCTGGCTTCCTCTTGGATGGCCCCATAGAATGAGTTAGCAACGGTGCATGAGTAAGGTAGGCCTGCCCCATCAACATATGGAGGAAAGTTATAGGAGGTAGAACTATCTCTTGGAATTCAGTACCACAAAAGGTACAGTAAAGCTTGACCATTTGCAGAGCAATCCGGTCACTCAGTTGGGGTGCTCTGATGTTGGAGTGCTCTGATAAATCCAGGTAATGCAAAACGGAATAGTGTTTGCAGGCAAAGGAAGGAAGGAATAGGATCCAGGCTTCTGAAATTACTTTATTTGTTGAAGGTCATTGCAGAGACCTGGGAAGGCTTGAGATCCAGATCACCTTTCATTTTCATCACCTTTCCAGATCACAAATCCCTATCATACACACCCGCCACCTTCACAGCTCGCCCACCTGGAAATTTTCCAACATCAGGAGCCAGAGAAGGAGAACAATATCCAATATCCTCGTTTCTCTCCAATCTCCAAAGAGGGAATCCATCAATCCTAGCACAGCCTGCATTGTTCTGGGATTAGTGGCATCTTCTTGCCTCCATAACACCACACAATTGTGTGGGGCTTGGGAAACGATGTGGATTAAACTCTGCTCAGCTTTTGCCCCACCACAAAGGCAGTTTCCCTGCATTCTTCTCAGAGCTGAGGGATGGGTAGTATCTAGCCCCAAACAGCAGCAGATGACCAAGGACAGTAGATTCACAGAGTCTTATTAATCAGGTTGCATGCCAGGAAGTCACTGAACCTTGGAGACTAGATAAGCAGATCCAGCCCTTATGTCTTGCTTTATCTATCTATCTATCTATCTATCTATCTATCTATCTATCTATCTATCTATCTATCTATCTATCTATGTCTTGCTCTATCTATCTATCTATCTATCTATCTATCTATCTATCTATCTATCTATCATCTATCTATCTACCTTCGAGTCAGTGTTGACTCCTGGTGACTGCCTGGACCAGTCGCTGAAGTTTTCTTGGCAAGATTTAGAAGTGGTTTGCCCTTGTCTTCTTCTTCCTAGGGTTGAGAGAGAGTGAATGGTTCAGGGTCACCCAGATGCATCCCTAACAGATAGATTGATTGATGCCTTGCTTAAGAAACAAGCTCCAGGTGATATCTATCTGGGCCTCGTCTGCCATGCTTTGATAGTCTTTCCCAGGCTCTGAAAGTGCCCTCAGAGCCGGTTTCCCACTAATGGGAACTCCCAGTTGTCCCACATTCTGGATCTTTCCCTTGCCTCTCGCATCACGGCAACGCGCTACTCTCCTTCAACCTCCCAGCTTGCACTAAAGGGTTTTGAAGAGCACAGATTCTGTATTATTGGTTATTCTATTGTATTACCCACGCCTAAGGATACAAATTCTTTCAAAAGGACTAACAGAAGTTTTTCCTTTGTGTGTGCTTTCTTTTCCCCACCTTAAAAATGTACCTTTCTATTAAGACAGCTCAAGAAAAAGAAAAAGAAAGTGAAAAAAAAATCCTCTATTTCATATATCTAAATTTACATATTTATTTTTAAAAATTGGTATTTTCTGCCCAAGAATTATAAGAATGTAATTATAAAAAATTATAAAAATACAATAAAGTGCAAACCAAGCCATTTACAGATTAGTTAAAACACCATTAAAATTCATCAGTGGTATAAACTCCATCCGATTAAAGCCCAAGGTAGCAACCGTTTCAAGACTCTCCAAGGCTGGATGGAGATCCTCTTTACATGCCATCGATGGATATCAGTGGCTATCAGAGAAGGAATTCAGTTGAATTTCCTTGGTAGAAAGTCCCAAAACGTGGAGGTAATCATGGTGGTTCAGCTAGCATCCAACTGAAGTACATGTGCAGTCCGGATTTGCTAACTTTATTAGGCTCTGGCTTAATTTGTAGTTCAAGAACGTTCAAAATAGCAAGTTATACATCATCTTCATCATCACCACCACCACCATCGCCAAATATTAACATCTCCATCACCTACTAAGCGCATTGTCATGATTCCAATGTTTCAAAAGCTACTTTAAGCAAGTCCATCTCTCCAAAGCTATTTAGCAATTATCTCAAATGTTCTCTTCCAAGGTTCAGCCAAGAAGCAGATGGCAAAGCCTGAAACTTTCGCATCCACTGCAGGGATGGGGAAGACATGGCTAAGCTTTCTTCTTCACTTTCTCAGCCACCTTATCGTGGGACTAACTTCAGCATGATTGGCTTCTCCGGTACTAAGAACGCTTGGTTGCTCATCACCAAGGGAATCTGCAGCAGAGAGAAAGAGCAAAGAAAGAACTGTTAGCAAATGGGGTAACCCAACTCAGCTTCCAGATTCACAAGGTTGAAGATCATAGCAAAAGGTGCTCTAAGGGTTTTCCAGGTCTAAACAGAACCATGGAATGCAACCTTATGCCCCCTTGGAGGTCATCCATCCATATCCAACACCTTTAGGCAGTTTCAGGATACTAGACAGAAGGGTCCAATGTCAGGTTGTAAAAGACTGCTGTTGTGGGGTTGCTCCTGTCTAGAAATCCCTTCCCTGGCTGCCCCTTATGGCTGCCCCTTTTCAGAAGGCAGTAAAACCTTTCTGCAACAGATATATTCCAAATCCGTCTTTCTCACCGGTGTTTCTTTGCAGACCCTAAATGAGAAGTGCTGCATGAGGATCGTGATGGCAACTTTCATGGTGACGAGAGCAAATCTCATCCCAATGCAGTTCCTGGGACCAGCTCCGAAGGGCAGATATGTGTAGGGATCTATGCTGTCTCTGTTTTCTTTGCTGAACCTGGATGAACAGAGAAAGGAAAGGATGTCAGGCACTGGAACAAGAAGACAGGACCTCCTCCTGTGCGAATGTGCCCTGTGCTTTGCTTAACGAGGCCTTACCACACCATGAAGGTTCACCAAAAATTCAATACCACAAACAGGCAAACCTTTTGATCAAGTCTGTCATGTGAGCTCAGAATTAATAAGCTATGGATACACTCTTGTGTGAATTCAGTAATAACCATCAGGGTTGAGGGGGCTGACCTCGGTTCTAACAACAACTTTAGTATCTCTGCCAGTCCTACCATTACATGAAATAAAACAAAACATGATAACCCTTGATGTCAGCTATAAGGAAGATCCAAGACTGGATCTATGTTGGCATCAGTTCAAACAACTGCTTTTCAGCAACAGTCAAGTAATCAAAACATGGGAAAATAATCCATATAAGAATTAAACCTCCATACAATCAAGCCATAGCTACATTTTCTATTCTTCTCCACAGATGCAAATGTGTGATTTGCTTCTACCTCTCAGGTCTGAACTCCTCCGGTTCGGGCCAGTATTCAGGGATCTGATGCAGGACCAATGGTGGGATCATCACCACAGTGCCTTTTGGAATGGTCATCCCATTGATTTCAACATCCATCTTGCATATTCTTTCAATACGCCCTCCGAGGGGATACAGTCTTTGGGTCTCATTCAGCACCATGTCAAGGTACTCCAACTGCATGATGGCATCATACGTGAGAGGTGCCTTGGGAATAATTAAAATAATGAATTTTCTTTCGTATGTAGTCCACTTTTCCTCTGGCAGCTTGAGGCAAAACAAGCTGATCTCCCTTGCCCATTTCCACATTGACTCAGTGAGATTGGTTGGTCTAAAATATGGCAAAGCTTCCATGAGCTTCATCTTGAAGAGAAGACAAATTCAATTCTTCCTCTGGTCTTAGCCAACCATCTACAATTATTCCCCACTGGTGAATGAGGTACTCAACAGGCCCATGTGATAAATTGGCATTTTGACCTCTAACACTGAAAAATACTATTAACTCTCAGACAGTCTTGCTTATTCTAGAGTGGGTATCACATACCTAAATAATAATACTGTTTGATTTGCATATGATTTTGGATAGATGAAGGGAAGAGAGAAAGAGATAAGACTTGCTAAGATGGTCTTTAATGTCTAAGATGGTCTTTAATCTCTTTAAATCAGAGAAATAGGCACACTAACAGTTTAACAGGGGAATGAGACAGGCATCATATAAGTGACCTCTACTTTTTGACTGAGTATATAGTATTGAGTATATAGTACAACTGATTATAGAATTAATTGAACTTCCAAGGACAGAACCCTTCAGAAGCGTTCAATGCACAGTCTTTTCTCTTTGCAGGCAAGGTAAGATGTTGTCAGGCAAGAAGATGTTTGAGGAGATAACTTGGGTAATTTCCAGGAATGTAGACTCAAACTCTCCAAACAATATTCAAGATTGCCTGGCTGGGTTCAATACAAGTAGTTTCAGGAGGCAGCTCCAAAGCTGAATTATAAGGGAAATTAGCCTTGGGTGGGAAGAAATACCAATTTTGGTCTGGATATGAATGTACATGCTGTTGGATTCATGTTAGATCATAAATCTAAGACCTGGAATGGGTCATGGAGGAATGGGCCATCTAGTCAATCTCCTGTGCAAGAATCCAAACTAAGTCATCCTGGACAGATGTCTCTCCAGCTTCCACTTAAATACATCCAGTGAAGGAAACCTATCACTTCTCTGGGTCATTGGTTTCACTGTCAAACTGTCCACTGTCAAAGAATAGAGTGTTTCCTAACATTGAACTGGACTCTGCATTAAGGCTGTGATTGCACGTTGGATAACAGAGTCATAGGCTTCATCTTGTGTCACTAATTCAGTACTTCACCGATATTATTACTGCTTTTAAGCTATCCAAGCCAGGTGAAAACAATTCGCTTTGGTGAACTGCAGACCTATGAATTACAATCCCCACACTCTTACCTTATTAGGTAGAACAGAATCTATTTCCTCTTGAAGCTTCTGTTGAATATCTGGGTGAGTGGCTAATGAGTAGGCCATGTAACCAAGGGAATTACTACCGGGTTCGTATCCAGCAAACACAAAGATAAAAGCTTGGGCTAGAATTTCCTGATCGGTCAAGCCTACAAAGAAATAAAAACAAATAGGGTGATGCAGAAACTTTACCATTGCAAGCATTATGAGTTTGTGCCAAGGATAATAATGGACCTTGCCTCATATTGTTTTATGTACTAGAAACATTGCCAAGGAAGTGCCAAACTTCTTAGGGCTTCATAGAACAATGTTGATTGATGCTGACTTTGCTTTAAAAAAATCATGTATACTGTCTTGTTTTGTTCTTCAATCCATCAGTTTCTTGAAAAAGAATTTGTTGCCCAAGTTCAAGATAGACTTTTGATGTTTTGTTGATTGAGACTTACAGGATCTACTGAAAAAAAATCATATTCTGCTAGGTCCCTATAAGTCCAAGGTTCTTAAAAATATTATGCTAAGTTGTGGAATATAGTATTTGATCTACCCCAGTTATGTGGTTGTCATGGAGAAAATCTATCTATGTGGTTGCTAAGAGTCGACAATGACTTGATGACACAAAATCAGTCAGTCAGGTATGTGGGCTCGGAACACCAATGCTGGCTACAGAACTGAGATGGTGGAACTTAAGCAAGTTACTTCCAGGGAGCCCTCTTAAGGATGATGGCTACAACTTTCTACAGCATGTAGTTCCTAACAGAGCTATGTGTACATCTGCCTTTTCCAACCTAGATACCCTCCCAGAATTCCCCAGGCAGTATAACCATTGCTGAGAATTCTGGGAGTTGAAGTCCACACATCTTCAAGTTGCCACAATTGAGAAACACTGGTTTAGAAAATGCATAATGTGAAACAGGAATCGGGAGCATTACCTTTATAGGAGTGATTCAGTCCATTGCTTGTAGAAATGTTTTTGTTCGTTTGAGAGTCAATCATCATCTGGAGGAAATCCATACGGCTCTGGGGATCAAATGAATGCACCAATGAAAACAGAGAAACAGGAGTAAAAGGTCCTTTAGGTGTCACTAACCATGATAGGAACAAAGGAGGGGACAAAATATATGTGAAATTCTTTTCATTGGGGAAAACTTTTGGTAACGTTTCCCTTGCCCCAGACAAAGATGTCCAGCCTTAAGTTTCAGCGGAGTCTTAGTGCTCACCCCTCGGCCTTCGTGCAGTCGTGTTTCCTTTATCTTTGCAAAAGACTTGGAGAAGAAGTTCACAGCTTCTCGAGAAAAGGCAGTTAGGTCCAATGCGTTAAGGAGTGGAAGGAGAGCTGGGAATGTAACTGAAAAAGAAATTCATTGTGAAAAAATAGCCATATCCCTGGAGGAAAACATTATTTTGTCATACGTTTGTTTGTTTCCTTAAAGTATCCAAGGTGAGCTATGAATAAGCATTAACAAGGTTTACTCAGAAGCCCACAGTCTGCAAATGCTAATGGGCATTTTGCTGGCACATTAAGAATCTCTGGATTATGCAAAGATGCTGTCCTTCTCTATGAAGATACAATGTAAAGATGTGCCCGTATCACAGCACGAGAAAGGCAAACCAGTGGCATCCTCAGTCATTAATTGGGGGCAGGCAGCTTGCAACCTTCAACTCATATCTGCTCCTCAGTTGAATTTCATGTAGCCTTGGCCCATTTTCAAAAGCTCTCCACAAAAAATCAGCCCAAGCTGATCAGAAAAGGGAAGAGCAACAGAGACAGAGGTGGGAGAATGGACAAAAAGAGATGTTCCACCCATTTTGGCTCCAGCCAGAGACAACTACAGAACAATGAAAGCAACATTGCACCATAAGCTCCACCTTTTTGGCTGTGCACGTCATGCTCAGTCACACAATCTTTTGTGAACAGATTGCAATCAAGAGGGAGCATCTCCTAACAGAAGAAAGATTTCCTATCTCCAATCTCAAATGGCAGCAGCCTTTCCTACCTACAGAATGAAATGGGCAGGAAAAGTTCCTCTGGAGAGGGACAAGTTAGGGAAGATTGCCCTGGGTCACAGAAATCAGAACTTACATGATATAATAAGCCGTGGATCAAAAGCGCTAAACCTGGTAAGCTTCTTGATCTGCATGACAAAAGGATCTTTGGGATTGTTCATGGAATTGATGTCTATCCCGAATGAGGTACTGGTGACAACGTCCATGCTGTAAGTCCCGAAGACACTAAGAGGAGAAAGGAAAGAAGCAGATGATCCAAGCTGCTGGTGTTCAGTAACAAAGATTTAGGAAATGGCTGTAAAGCCAGACGGAAGATGCATTAAAACATTTGTAGCAAACACAGAAACCCACAGCTTCCTGATGGCCTTGGTATGTTAAACACCAGCTTCCCCAACACATCTGGAGCATGTCAAGCTGGAGAACATAGGCCCAGTCTCACCAGCAGCAGCCTTCCAGGGTCCTGGACTGCAGCCTGACCCAGAATTGAACTGGGACATTCAATGTGCAAGACCTGCTGTTGCAGTTCGTCTGATATTTTGTAGGCTGCATTTGGCTTGATGGCTCTGATTTTTCTGCTTTCCAGCTGTTGGGCTCAGGAGCCCAGGCCTTTGCCCATCCTGGAATAGATACTTTGGGCAAATATATCCATTTGGTTTCTCACTATGTCTCATTTTTTCTATTTCTGATCTTTACAGATATTAAATTTGTCATCACTGAGATAGATAGATGATAGATAGAGATAGGTAGATTGATAAAGATAGATAGATAGATAGATAGATAGATAGATAGATAGATAGATAGATAGATAGATAGAGATGGATGAGAGAGAAAGAGAGATGATAGATACTAAATGTCTGTGTTTTGGTGCAGATTTCCTCAAGTCACGTTTCTCTAAACCTATGCATTTTAATTTGCAATTTTCTCTAGTGTAATATGCATAGTATTTGCAAACTAACTCCACCAATCTGATGCATTTCTCTATCTTATTTTCATCAACAGATGCATTTTTCTACAGACTTGTCCCAAGCATACTTTTAAAATGTGAAATGTGTCGCAACATTGGAACGGTACACATTTTAAATGATAACCACATTTCAGTTTGTGTATTGGTTGGGAAATGAAAAATTGTTTTCAAATGCAAAATTACTAAATCCATGCCTCCCATGTCCCTACTTGTGACAGCATTGGGTTGTTTTGGTGGTCCAAAGAACTTACTCTTTCACATCTATGGGCTCATCATTTTCCATTTTCCTCTGAACGTTTTGCATTAAAATCTCCCCATAGTGTTTAATGATGGGAAACATCTGAAAAACAAACCCGTGGACACAGTTTTAAACATTTATGGACAGTTTCCTTTCTTAGTCGCTGATGTGTTCCAAAAAAGCCTGTGGCTGATTCATAAATAATTACAAATTCAGCCATGATGAAGATAGTGGCATTCTTTCTTATTTTTATGTTGACATGTTCTGCAAAATTATTTTTCTTTCTCCATAGGGCATTTTAGGACTGAAATGGACAGGACTGCTAATCTGGTCCATGACCAATGTTCTTTGAATATCTATTATGGCTTTTTGTAGAACTAAAATGTCTCCTGAGATGAATGGCCCTTACAGTCCATGTGGCTTACTCCTAATTAAGCAGTTCTAGGATTGTACAGTAAATTCATCATTAAATCGCCCTAAACATGCAGCCTAGGAATCACTCTTCCTATGAAAGGGGTGGGACGCACTTCCCAGTATTTCCATTGGGATGGAAGACAGAAAACAGCTTTTCTCTGTCTTCCTACTGGCATAACTTCTCAAAGGAAGAGATATCTCTTAGCTTCTGTAGCTTTCTTTCTTCTCTTTGGAGGTATCTTGGGAGTGCAAAAGGGAGCAATATTTTGAGGATCGCTGGTCACTTGCATGTTATCCCCTCCCACTGAGACAGCAACCAGGATAACATGGAGTTTTTCAAAGGAAACATCCCCCTGTTGTTGACCCACAGTCAATTGTTGTTGTGGTAGAGTACAAAAAGAACATTTTGGAATATACTTTCTTCAGATTTTGTATGCTGGTCATAGAACAGAAGAGGGATTGTTATTGTGACAATGCTACATAACCTGAAAAACTTACATAATTGGGAGAGATGACACAATACCTCCTTCAAGATTTTGTTTAATATCTGTCTCCTTCCTTCCTTCCTTCCTTCCTTCCTTCCTTCCTTCCTTCCTTCCTTCCTTCCTTCCTTCCTT